GCAATTCCGACAATACGTCTGCCTGGAAGCTGCCAGGTTACTGAATGAACCCGTTTGCTGCGTTCTCACCACACCTGGAACTAAGAACACGGGATTGGATTCTCACGGCAGGCGAGGCACCAGCAAAAGCACCAAGGCTCAGCCCGACCGAGCTTCGTTGGTGGTCTGAATCCCTTCCCTACCTTCTTCGCTGACCTGATTCAGCGTTTTGCGCGAACCTGAGCAGTTGCTCCTGGCCGCTCGCTGAACCGATTCAGCGGAGAAACGCAGAGCGGGGCCGACCGGCGGGGTTCCCCGCGGCCTCCCTCCAACGCGCCCAGGCTGAGTTCCGCCACAAGGCCGCTTTCTGGCCACGGAAAGGAACGCCGGCGCCCGATTGTAGGGATCGCCTCGCCTCCATTTCAGCCCCGGGGGTGGCGGCGAGGATTTGGCTCCTTTCGGCCGCGGCGCCTGGAAAGGCGAGCTTTCCCCCGCCCCTTGCTTACCCCCTTACCCGGAATATATAGGGGACAGTCCTCTTGTCAGTAGACTTGAGCGCGACAAAAGCAATGCTGTCGTAGAGCGAGGTGTGGCTGAGCACGCAGGGGCCAAAAATGGCATTCTCCGGGATGTCGCAGGTGGTGTACACGCTGGTGAAAATGTCCGTCAGGCACTGCTGGACGGCTTTGGCGTCTCCATCCCAGATGCTCCGGGGCACCCCGCTTTCCTCCATGGCTGGAAACAGGAAAGAAGAGGAGCGGGTCTCAGAACCACGTTGGAGAGAAAAGCCCCGGTCGTTCCGGGGCGCCCCCAGGACATGGAGTCCCATTGGGCTTCCGTGGACCCCTTTGTAATGCCCTTTCACAACAGGAACAGGCTCATCCCTGAATTGTCCTGCATTCAACGCCAACAGCCACCGCCGCTCTTCCAGAGTTCAGCACGCTTTGAAATTGAGACTCCAACTCGGTGGGAGAGATGGGTGCAGAAAGCTGCGACCTGCACTTCCTAACCTCCTGGCCAAAACGCCTGGACGCAGAGGGGCTGCTTCCCCTTCCCCAAAGGCCCGCGAGGCCCGAGAGCGTTTTGTTCCTTTAAACCGCCCGAAGGAGGAGAGCTCTGGCCGGCATTTTGCTCAGCGCGGCGGCAGAGCAGCCGAGGCCAAGCCGGTGCATCTAAGTCGTCCGGTCAAACGGCCTGGCTCTACACGGGAAGGGCAAGTGCCCGTCTGGGTGCGTCATGCTGAGCCTCCAAACGGGCCTTGTCCGAACCCTTCCGAGGAAGAAGAAATCGAGAAATAATTCATGATAGAAAGGAGAGCGCGGAGGAAAGGAGAAGAGGAAAGCGAGACCGAGCCCGGCCTCTGAAGCACGGGGGCTGCGGCAGGATCCCAGAAAGAGAGGAGGGGGCCAAGAAGGCCTCTCCGGGGCTCCCCCTTCGCCCTGTTCTGCCCTGGGTGGAGAGGAGAAGGGCCGCTTCTCTACCCCTACCTGCCCGGTGCCTTCTCGGAACTTCTTCCCCGCGCGTTCCCTCGCCCCTCCGAGTCCGGCGCTTCGTTCCGGACTTTGCTCCTGGCGGAGTCTCGAGGGTCCCCCTCTGCCCCCGCCCGGGCCTGTCCTTCCTTCCCCGCCCCATGCGGGGCTCGTGACGGACGGGTCGGGCGCGCAAATGGATTTCGAGCGCCTTGTCAGGGTCGCTGATTTGATGTCAGCTAACCTTTCACGGAAGCCGACAAGAGGGAACGTATGTCGGCTCATTACCATAATCCAGCAGTTTCCCTGGGAGACTTTAATTAAAAGCAGCGAGCAGAGGTAATTATTTCTTACCACGACACGCTTATTTATGGGAGGCGGGCGAATCCCAGTTTCCGTGTTATACACGGGGATACAGGCAAGACAAACGCGCGGCTGGCGAGACCCGGAGCCGCAGAGATAGACTGAACAGGCGTGAGGAAACCTAATCACGCCAAGAACTTGGTTTCAAAACTGTCTTTTGGAACGATCAACTTAGTAATAACAACAACAGCATTAGCATCAGCAAGAATAATAGTAATAATAATTCCTACCGTACGCCATACCGAACGGAAAACAGGCAATTCTCTCCAAATCTGCCCTGTAATCTTTTTTTCCCCTCTTCTCGCATTAATTCCCC